AGCAGGAGTATAATGGACCAGGCGAGAAAATAACAAAAATAATGAACAACCATATACCGGAGACATTCTGTGGGGGCGGAGTGGGGAATGGGATCAAAAATGGGGGAGGGGGGGAAGAGAGGGAAATGCACGGGACTATGGTGGTGGCACAGGGGTGATTCGGTGATGGGAAACCCGCGGGGATTACAATCGAGATGGAAAAAAAAATGTGCAAAATGATGTAAAAATAAACTTTGTAATAAAAAAAAAAACAAAACATTGTTGCAGGGCCTTCCTTGGTGGCCCTATGGGTTAAAGTGCAGCACTAGGAAGCTAGCCGCAGCCACTTCAGCAGGAGTTCGATCCCCAGCCCGGGAGACGACCCATGTGGTGCAGCAGACCTCACCTGTTTCACCTATTGCGCCCCACTCTGTCTCTGGTGAATCCTCTTACCACCCCTGTGCCTCTGGCCTCTACCCCAGTTCTGTATGCATAAATAAATAAATCTTTTTAAAAATAGACAAAAACATTGTTGCAGCAGTGTCTTTGATATATGTGTCCCCTAGCTTCTAGCTCTGTAGCACAAGTTCATGCTGCTGAATCATAGGATACGCTCATTGAAAATCCTAAAGTTGCACTTCCAAGTCCTAACAAGAAGATCCCAGAATGTTCTCTGTTCACTCTTTTACACTAGGTCACCTTAATCTTTTGCATTTTATTCATTATAATTGGTGAATCTTGGTATTTTGCAAGTCCAATTTGCAGTTAATATAGACGAGGTGAACATGTTTTCTTGTATTTGTCAACTGTCTGGATCTCAGTTTTCTTTTTGTGAATTATTATCATTTGCCCAGTTTTCCATGCTGTATTGACTTGTAGGAACCATGTGCTATACATACTACAGTTATTTTCTCCCAGTCTTTGTGCTGACTGTAGATCAGAAAATCCTAAGCACAAGGTTAGTATTCAAGTTAAAAGTGCCAAGTTCATCTTTGCATCATCTATGGGACAACAGCCCACTTGCTCACAGATTTTACCAACATATAATCAATTGAAATTATTTTTGGAAACCCTATTCTGTTCCTTTGATTTTAACACAGTCTCTCTCTTTAGAGAGGTCTGCTATGGCTGCCAAATCTAAAACAGTCCTATTCACATGCAGGCCCCCCTCCACCCACCCACCCACCCACCTGCCCACTCGTCCATCCGTCTGTCTGTTCGTCCATCATTTGTGGCCTTCCACACACTTGTCTTCCAGACACTATCCTGCTTGTTTATCTGCTGACTTGTTAGTTGTCTAGTTGTTTGTTTCCACTTGACTATGGACCTCACATGGCCTATACACACTCAAGCCCCACCTGACGCAGAGCTGAAGGTCCACAAACAGCGGTAAATATATGTGGGGCAGATGGTGAATTTCCAGGTTATATCCTAAAGGTTTTGATAATCATTGCTTTGGCCTGAGATATTTTATTTTCTAAAAAGATTTGTTTATTGATACATACAAAAGCTGAGGTACAGGGGGTGGTGGTGAGAGGATTCACCAGAGACAGAGTGGGGAGCAGAACAGGTGGCTCTAATGAAATACACTATTGAGGGGAGCAGTGGGTGAGACAGGAGAGGTCTGCCATGCCAGGTGTGTGTGTGTGGGGGGGATCAAACTCATGCTGCAGTCACTGTGGCTAACTTCATCATGCTGCGCCACCAGGGAGGGCCCATGGCCTGAGATATTTTAAAGTCTGTTAGGCCAGATATGCTGGCCTCAGAGTTAATTTCTTACAAAAACTCCATTATTCTTGTCTGATTACTTCTTACAGCTGAATGTCACAGCCTATATGTCATGCTTTATAAAAATACAGAGTGGATTTTAATTTTTTTTGGATTGGCTCTTTGTAGTGATTTATTTTTCTCTTTACTACATTTTGTCTTCCTAATGGCAGTGGAGTCTAGCTTTTCATGTTTTCATGCTTTTCTTGAACTCTTTCATTGCACTTTAAATTTTCTTTAATAAGCCCGTATGTCACACATGCTTAATCTTGAGTATAATTTGTTTTGGTTCTGTTGTAAATAGAAGCTCTTTGCATGGTGTTCTCCATCTCACTGGTACTTGGAGTTACATTCTATTTCTGAATACTTGATATCTTATATTGGTTTTGCCATGGAAGTGGTGTGATAACATATAGTTGTAGAGATGTGAACCTATTCCTCTAAAATATATTCAGTGTTGTAAATCAATATTACTTGAATAAACATAATTTTAAAATAACAAACAAGAAAACAAACATAAAATCATTTGAACATTTAAAAAGTTGTTATCTTGTGCCCAATAACTAAGTTCCTAAAGAATTTCTTTATTGTTGTTGCTGGTATTTTGTTTGGTTGACTTTCTTGGATTTTTTTTTTTAGGAGTTTAATCATGTCCTTTACTTTAAAACATGTTTTTATGTCTTCTAGGTTTTTCTTCTTTATCTATTTTTTAGAATAGATACAAACTTCTTATCCAGGATTTCAGATGCCATTACTATTGCTTTTGTCTCAACTGTTCCTTGCTCAGAACATGATTACAGTCTTCCTGTATACTTTTTTCCTCCAGCATTTTAATCAGGAATAGATGTTGAATTTTTCTGGTCATCTCAACATTTTTGGAAATGGGTTTAATCATTATTTCAGTGAACATTAGTTGTTAGTTTTCTGTGTAAAAGACTAACTAACTTTAGTTCTACTATTTGTTTGCAGCCAAGTTATGTAGGTTTTTAATTAAATTTTATTAAAACTGTACCTCTCATAAAACCAGCTGGCCAATAGAAACTCCCCTTCCCTCTTGCCCTAGCACAGTTGAAATAAGCTAAGGAAGTTCTTCAAGGAACGTAGAACTTCAACTCTTCATTGAATTCTCTGGAACCAAGGAGGGTTTTGCAACTCATCTTATAGTAAATGCCTTCCTTTGATAATAATCATCTTCCCTATTTTTTGCTTCATTCTTACTGTTATGACCTTTTGGATTGTCAGCTGTCTCTGGTGAATCATCACATTTCCTATTTTGTAGATAAAAGGGGAAGGTCATGAAAAGCATTTCTGCCAGGGTCAGAGGTTCAGCTTCGTGTCTCACACGAAGCCTACCCTCACTGCACCGCTTCCCCCACGAGCCATCCCTGTCACGGCTCACTCCCATATCCCACATTGGGAGGGAGGCAAGTATGAAGCATAGAAATCTGAGTTCTGGAAGGAATTCTGGTTTCATAAAGAAATGCAACTTTATTATTTTCAAGAACACATGTAATGCCTCAAACTAATGCCTTACAGAAGCTCACCAGGTAAAGGTCTTGCAGATGTTTCTTTAGCAAAGACATAAGAGTTGATGATAATTAGCACATGCGCTTGCTACTTCTAAATGGATATTCCCAACTCACCAGCAAAGTATTATTTTAGGTAAACTAAGTATACTGGTAGCCCCTAGCAATGTGCTCTTAACTTACTAAAGAAATGCCATTCTTACTGATTGTGCAAAGATAAGCTTTTGTCCACAGTCAACAAATCTCAAATTAACTAGGTCCAAGTTACTATGGTTTCTCATTTAGTTTTCCGAGCCCGAGACAATGAGTCACCTAGTTCCAGGTATTTCTGATGCAGTACAATTCCAGTGTAATGAATTGACAGTGCTGGAAGGTGTGGGGGTATGATTTAGTGTTTGTGCTTCTTCCCTTTCTGCTGTTTTTCTTGGGTGGTTCTCCCATGCTTGGTTCCTCTAGGTCTCTCTGCCGGACCCTCTGAAAGCCTTCTAAGCCAGCCACAAAATGGGCAGAGCTATCTACGGGCAGGTGTGTTGAGAGCAAAGGGCTTAAGGGTAAGGTCCTGGAAACAAGTCCCATGTCCAGGAAAGCAGGCCAGACGGTGTCCGTGTGGAGGGCGCTGGGGGAGCAGCTGCCGTCCAGAGGGCAGAGGCAGGTTTGTGACGCTTCCCCTTTCCTCCTGAGATGCAGACCAGTTATGACCTAACTGGATCCTGCATCTCCCTGGGCAGAGGCGATTCTGGGAACATGCCCACCCCCATTCCAGCCCACAGCCAGGGAACTGCTTTTCCAGGCTGGCCGGCCAGAGCCTGGGGATGATGCAAGACCCGTCAGCATGGCCTGGAGGAAATGTGGCGGTGAGCAGGGAACGTGCTGTGGCTGTTCAGAGCACACAGCAGTCTGGGGACTTAGTGTTCTAGCGAGTGGTGGTAGACCTGGAGCACCTGTGACCCTAGGCCACATGGGGCAAGTAGACCTCAAACCAGGATCAGCGAGGTCTTCAGTGGGATAAGCTTGCCTCCCAGACAACCTCCCAGATCGCTCCCTGTCCTGCCTCTGCTGCTGCTTGGATGGGATTTGAATTTGGTCTGCTGGCAGGGAGTCTGCAGAGAGCCCAGACAGAGCCCAGACTTCCAGCTGATGACTGGCCACCTGGAGGACACGGTCAGTGGTGCTCTCTCTCCTTCTGTCTTTGCCCTGCTTGGCCACACTCACACCTTGACCTGGTTCCTGTAGGCTCACTCTGCTCTAGCTTCCCACCCTGCCTTGCCTGGGAACAAGAGGCTTCTCCAGGAGCGTCCCTCCCTGAGCATTATCCAGGAGAAACTGGGGTGAACTCCAGGTCTGAGCAGAAGAGGTGACAGGGTCAGGAGGGAAGTAAATGAGGGATCAGAGTGGGAAGTGGGGTGCGGTTGGAGAGATCGGGGCATAGTTTATCTGTTCCCTTCTTCTGGTTTTGACCACAACTGTCTTTGCATGTTGATCTTTTAGTGGGGGGCAGAGTGGAGAGAGGGGGTGGGGAGGCCTGGGATCTTCCTATTTCTCAAAAAGGCTGGATAGCACAGTGGAGGGTGGAGCGGGATCTGGGGAGGTGTCCTCATGTGAGGTGGGATCTGATGCTTCCGTCGGGGCAACCCCAGCATTTTTTACCCACTGTCTACTTAGCCTGCCATGTTGCCTCATTCTGTCTTTCCAAGTCTTCCCCCCAAATACCACCATGGCATTTTCCACCCCTCCCTATCACCACCCCCACACCTCCTGAGCACCCCATCTTCCAGAGCCCGGTTCTTCTCTCCAACGTGTTCAGTAGTAAGTCTCCTTCTCCACCCAGCCTGTCAGAGAGATTAGGGTGGAGGCTGCAGCAAGAGTTTAAAAGGAAGCAAGAGGCAACTCTCGTAAGGGCTTGGTGGTTGAGGCCAGGTGCAACAAGAGGGGTGGAGAGAGAAGCTGTGAGAGGGGCAGGAGCCCAGTGAGCTGGGGTCTAGGTCAGGGGAAGGAGAAGGGGAGGTACACCTGGGGGAGAGCACCTTCCGCACAGTGGTGACAGGTCTGCGTGTGGGAAATGCCTGCAAGGCGTTCATGGGACAAGTGGCACCTAGGAGGGCGAGCTGGGCAAGGTATAGTTGCTCTGGGGACTTCACAGCCATCAGAAATGCTCGTGTTGGGGAAAGCCCCTACATTGTAGATATTGGGCCAATGAAAAAGACACATGACACATTACTGGGCAGGCCAAAGCCAGCAACCGCCATGGACCACACTGGGTTGGTAGCCCATGCGCATTCAGCTTTTGATAAGTGATCAGAAAGGGGAGCTGGGGAGCAAGTGCTGTTGGCTGCTGCTGGGGTTCAGCGGGCTTGGGTTCCGGGGCCAGGCCAGCCCTCCCTGCTTGATGACCCTGGCCATTAAGTTCTCTTTGCTCTCCTCATCTGTAAAACGTGCAAGTGGGACAAGATGACCTGGCAGGGCCCTCTGGTGCTTGACACTGAGTGGGTGGGGGCTGGGGACCAGCTGCGGGACAGGTGGGACTTAGCACTGAGATAACAGGCCAGGAAGAAGGTAGGTGCACAAGAGTAGGTGCTCCAAGCACCCAGACCCCAGGTTTTGAGGGCCTGCAGAAATGGGGTCCAGAAAGGGAGCAGGGGTCCCACGTTGGAAAGAGAGGGGTTTGGATCCTGGAGGTTAGGGGACAGGCAGCTGTGGGGGTGCAGATGGTGGGGTGAGAGTGGCAGGGGAGGGCTTACCTCCTGGATATCGCCGCAGGATAAGCTTCCGCACCTCATCATAGATGAAGATGAGGAGGCTGTAGGGGAAGGCACAGAACCACCACGTGACCCTGAAAAAAACAGGACAGCGCTGGAGCTCAGAGGCCGGCCTGAAAGACTTGGCCGATGGGACTCTGGTGGCGGAGGCGCCCGCAGAGACACTCACTTGAGTGGGTACATGCGCAGCGCCACGCCCATGCCGGGGCAGTAGGACAGGAAGGCAGCCAGCGCCGTCTCCTCCAGGAGCCCGAAAATCAGGATCTTGTTCCTGGAAAGGCAGAGGAAGGGTGGGTAGCATCAGAGGGGGCCAGGAGGGGGAGGCCTGGGAGCCCCCGGGGCAGGGAACAGGTGAAGCAGTGGGAGGGGATGTTGCAAGGATGCTTTCTCCAGTACCCTTGAACCCCGTTTTCTCTTGCTTGGGGGAACACAAGAAAGAAGTTACTTTCTCTGCTACTGACTCGACCTGACCGTTGTCTAGCAGCTACATTCACTCAGTTACTACATGTTTCCTGCGTGCTGGGTGCTGCACTCTGTCCTGGAGAAGCTGTGTTCTGCATAAACTTCCTTTCAGACCCTCGGGAAAGTCTACAGGGACCCCAAGTCTGGTCTCTCCCGCAAGGGGCTCTTTATCACCCTGGCTGGTTTCTCATCGTAGAGATTCAATAAAGAGAACGTTAAGTACTCAACAAAGGGAAGGCTTGCCAGGTAGTAAGTGCCTCTGCACCCGTTCAACCATCAGCATAGAAAAAGCTGGGCAGATAAGACGCTGGCAGCTTCTGGCGTCAGAGAGTCTAGCCCCAGCTCTGCCACCTGCGAGCTTTTGGTTGTAAGTAGAGGCCCTTACCTTCTCTTGTTCCTTCTCTGTAAAATGCAAATTTCATCCTAGGACTGCCTAGAAGATGGTGGGAGTGAACCTTTGGAAAATTCTGGAACATGGCAAGTGCATACTACCCCATCTTTCATGACCTGAGGCTGTGCCCTCTTTATGGCGCACAGTGGTTCCCAAACTTCTGTCACTCCCTGCTGACATTCATCTTCATTTTCTTCTTTAGAGACCACATTTTCATGAATTGTCTCTCCAGCTGCTTTGCTAGTAAGGAAGAAGTGCATTTCCCTGTTGAAAATGAACTAAGCTAAACCTACCCTGTGTTGTAAACTAATGTTACCTCAATAAGAAAATAAAGCAGTAAACAAACCCCAAAATAGAACAATAAACTAGAAACACACGGGTGTCTAAATAGAAGTGCGGGTTGCCACGCAGGCACGTCGCCTTCTGATCCGTTTTTCTTGGCTTTTCACCAAAGAACGAGACTTCAGTCATCGTGGAGTTTCTCCCAGAAGCGTATGATTTCCAGAAAGCATTTTGAATAACGCAGACAGCAGCTCTTAGGGCCCAGGGCCAGGAGGTAAGTGGGTATGAGGCCTGGCGGCCTGGCTGTGGCCTTGGTGTGACTGGCCCGCCCATGTCAGCTGTTTCTTTCACACCTGTCAGTCGCACTCCCTGCACAGTGAGTCCCCAGTCCAGACCTGAATCCAGGCCTGGACTCTGCTCTCTGTTTTCTTCCCATTGCCTGCTAGTGCTTTGCCTTACTGGAATCGCCTTTGCGTCTCCTTTAATTACCCGACAGATGTCTCACCTCCCTCTCCTAGCATCTTAAAGGTTACTAACTGCACCAAGGTTTAGCATCTCCCAACCCCTCCCCCCACCCTTTTCCATCCCATACTCGAGACTTGGGGCTGTGCCCACTGCTTGTGGTAGGACATAGCAGGGCTGTGAAGCTATGTGAGTGGCACAGTCTGCAGATTACTAGTGCAGTGACCTGTACACAGTGGCTCATGTATAAGAAGCTTTGAACCTGACCCTGAGCATCAAGACCCCAAAGATAGCAGCACTCCGCTGGACAGGAGAGCTGTCTGCTGATGTGCGTGCACAGGAGACCCTGGACTGGCAGAAGAGGGGGTGCTGTCGGTAGGGTAGAGATGGAGGAAAGGCATGAGGGGGGACGGGAAAAGGGAAGGAGGGAGAAACGGAGGGAAGAAGAAATGGAGGGAGGGAGGAAGGACCCAACCCAGAGGTGGGGGTGGTGCCTGTGGGGCGCTCACTTCATGCCCTGCTGGAAGACAGAGTTGCGACGGGTCTTGCAGATGATGAGGTCAGCCCACTGCACGACCACAATGCTGGCAAAGAAGGCCGTGTGGCATGTGAACTCCACCACCTTCCGCTGCTCGTAGGTCTGGGGCCAGAGCGAGAGTGTGAGAGGAGAGGGCAGGGCCTGAGGCACAGCCTGGCTCTAGCCAATGACCAACCCTGGGCACCAGGATGCCCTGAGACGGGGTCCCAGTGGCCTCCCCACCAGGTTCAGCCACACTGGTCTGCACATAGCACCCATCCACTTCTGTCTGGAGTGATCCTTCAGGACACTGGTGGACCCACCCTGCCCCACCACATCCCCACCCACCCACTCCTGTCCATAGCTATCCTCCAGGTCATTGGTGGACCGATCGTCCCAGTCCAGGCGGATGCCCAGCAACCGTGAGGGCAGGAAGCCATTTTCAGCCAGGATGACGAAGTAGGTAAAGAAGCCGCCCAGTGCCTGGATCATCCCTGGGGGGGCAAAGGACCGTCTGGTCTGAGAAGGAAGCAGCGGGGCAGCCCCAGGGCAGAGACAGTGGCCCCTGCCCCTCCATGGTCCCAGAACCTGAGGGGGCTCCCCCAAGGCTGGGCCACTCACCAATCTGCCCGTAGGCCATGCTGATGAGCCGCTCATTCACCAGCTTGTCTGTCTGTGGGTTCCGGGGCTGCCGCTTCATGATGTCGCTCTCAGCTGCCTCATAGGCCAAGGAGATGGCAGGGACCTGAGGGCAGTGGGAGGGGGTCAGTGGGCTTTAAAGGGAGACACCCACAGGGGGATCTCTGACACAATGTGGTAACAGCTTACGGAGACCCCATTAACTTCCAGGTCTGTGCCTGTGGTCACTTTGCCACGGCTACCAGGCTGCTTCCCGGTCCATCCCTCCTTCCACCCTGCCGCTCCTGTCCACTGTGCCCGCACGCGGTCTTGCCCCTCTGCTCCCAGACTCACCATGTCCGTGCCCAGGTCGATGCAGAGGATGGTTACAGTGCCCAGAGGCAGGGGGATGTTGGCGATGATGAAGAGCAAGAAGGGGGTGATCTCGGGGATGTTGCTGGTCAGCGTGTACGCGATGGACTTCTTCAGGTTGTCAAAGATGAGGCGGCCTGTGGGGAGGTTCTGAGGGCATCAGGGAGATTAGAGGTTCCTTCCCCACCCCAGTTCCCAAGACATGGCTGCTGTTCCTCCTGACAGAGGAAGAGTGTAAATGAGGGACAGAGAAGAGGCTGAGGGGATCCTTGGACCCTTGGTTGACTCCACTGGTAAAGGGCCTTGGAAGAAGATATTTGGGTACCAGGTCTCCTGGGGCCAGCCCACCCTGCCCCTCCTCACCCTCCTCCACGCCAGTGACGATGGAGGCAAAGTTGTCGTCCAGTAGGATCATGTCGGCCGCCTGCTTGGAGACGTCAGAGCCCGCGATGCCCATGGCAATGCCGATGTCAGCCTTCTTCAGCGCCGGGGAGTCGTTCACCCCGTCTCCGGTCACCGCCACGATGGCTCCCTGGGAGAGGATTCCAGGAGCAGGATGGAGACCCAGCCCACCTCTGGCTCGCATCCAGCTCCTGCTCAGAACCCACCTGTGCCCACCGGCTCCGCTCACCTGCCGCTGGCAGCCCTCCACGATGATGAGCTTCTGCTGCGGGGACGTCCGCGCGAACACGATCTCTGTGTGGTTCCGGAGGATCTCGTCCAGCTGCTCCGAGTTCATGTCCTTCAGGTCGGAGCCGTGCACCACGCACGCCTTGGCCTCTCTGTAGGGGGCAGTAATGCTGTGCCAGGGACTGGCCCACACCTCTCCTGCTGCTGGAGCCAAATCAGGGGCCCCAGGGCCCCAGTGACCCTCCCCCACAACACTCTGTTTGCCCCGCTGGGTTCAGATGGGCAGCCCTAGCTCCGCTGCATACACTGTCTCCGTCTAGAGTCACCCTTAGTCCAGAGAGACCCTCCTTGCAGACTGGACACACACTGGGGACAGACCAGAGCAGGGCTGGAAAGGCCCAGAAGCGGAGCCAGGTACCTAGGGAACACACAGTGTTCTGGAGGAGAGGATGGGGACAGAAGCCCTACCGAGGCCTCACCTGGGGTTGACCTGGCTGACGGGAATATTGAGCCGGGCGGCAATGTCCTCCACTGTCTCATTGCCCTCAGAGATGATGCCCACGCCTTTGGCAATGGCTTTGGCTGTGATAGGATGGTCCCCGGTCACCATAATCACCTGGTGAGAGGGAGAGGTAAAAAGTCAGGAAATGCCAGGCTACTAGACAGATGGTGGGGTGATGGGTTCCAGCCCAAATCATGGAATGGGCGTGTGTGTGAGTGCATGTGTCTGTGTGCACCGGTGTGCATGCATGCATGTGTGTTTGGGTGTGTTGCATGCTTGGGTGTGTGAGCATGTGTTCGATGTGTAAGTGCGTGTGTGGGGGGCGGGTGGGGGTGGGCAGCTGGGAGAGACAAGCTGTGTCAGGGGGTCAGACATAGTTGCTGAGAAGGAGCACTGCCTCCATGACACAGTAACGGGCTCAGGAGACTCCCTGGGAAGCCTCTTCCACGGATCTTATGGGAGCCAGACTGTCGGAGCTACAAGGACCCTAAGTGGTTCCCTCATTTTACCAGTGAGGAAATAAAGGTCTAGAGAGGACCTCAGTCTGCTCAAGGCCCAGGGGACCAGAACTTGGCTATCACTGGGGAGACAGTCCCTCCCCCTCCCCCTGCTGCCACTCCCAGTTGTTCTGCCTCTGACAGCCCCTCAGTGTGGGAGGAGGGTGGGCCCTGCCTCTCCACAACAGTGCCCAGCCCTGTGGCTGTAGTGAGTGGACTTGGATGTGGAGGCTGTTTGACAACTCGGAGGCTGTTAGAAACAGATGACCAAAGTCGTATTAGGGCTACACTTGTGTGTGTGGATTTGTGGGCCAAACCCCCAGGTTCTGAGAAGGAAACCCCTTCAGGCCGTCTATACACTCTACTGAAACTGCCCCCCAACGGCCATCTGGGTCTCCCAATATAAAACAAAAGCATCTTCGCAGACTTCATCCCCTCCACCCCTCCAGGTACTGGCCTAGCCCACACCGTCCTTGACACCCTCCTACCCCCTCCCTTGTCTTGGGGCTCCTTCATTCCCAGACTCCTCTCTCCTCAGACTCTTCTCGCTCTCCTTCATGTCAGCCAAGCCCACTGGCAGGTGGCTTGGGACTTAGGGGGGACCTAGATCTAAGTCTGACCTTCAGCATCTAGCGGGCGGGGGACAGCCATTCACTGAGGCTCGGCGCAGGCGAAGATGAGCCCGCCAGCAAGCCAGGAGAGTGAGCGGCACTACGTGGGTGTCCGGCCAACTTGGCTGGTCTGACTGGCCTCCTCTGGCTCCTTTCCCTTGCTAGGCCCGTGTGTGCCTGTGCTCACACATGCCCTGGGCATATAGCGATACACACTCGCATGTCTTTACCTCACGCTCCTGTGCTAAGGAGACCTGTGTCCTGAGCTGACCCTCTTTCCCAACTCAAACCACATTCCAATGTCCCGGGAGCCTTTTTGCTGGTATTATACTCCAAACTCAAGGCCCAGGTTGAAGCCAGGATCTCACTGCCGCCACCCGCCTGCCTGGCCTCTGCCTGGCCTCAGAGCCCAGCCCCATCATTCTCTCTTTGTCCCTCGCCTCCCACGTCCAGGCTGACCACCATTTCCTAACGTGCCTCCTCGCCACCCCCGCTCACCACTACCACCTCAATTTTCAGCCATCTCTGCCCTGTCTCCTGGCCTCTGTTCTTTCCCAAATCCAGTTCCTCCTCGATGAAGACGCCTCCTAAAAGCCACATCTGCCCCCTGGACCGCTGTGGCTCTCTGGGGACCGTGGGATAAAGCCCATGTCCGGCCTCGAAGCAAAGTCCTTCCCACGGGCCCTGGCCCAGGCCCCAGGCTCCTCTGCCACCTCCCCCACGGCACCCACACCACACAGCCGGCCACACTGGGTACACGCTGTCCCTGCTCCTGAGTGGCCTCTCTCACTGCCTTACAAAGTATCTCTAACCTATGAGGCAGATCAAATATCAGGCTGCTGTAAAACACCATTCAGCTCCCTGAGGCTGTGTTAACTGCTTCCTGTGCTGGCTGCCTGGGGCACCCCCTGCATAGCTCTGATGGTGGCAAGCCCGGCTGAGCAGGGGAGCACAGGCTCACAGCAGGCCCCTGCACCACTTACGAGTACTTATTTTGGGAAATCAGCTGGTTTAACTTCTAATAGGGATCATGTCCCCACCTGAGAGACAGGGTGGGGCTCAGAAATCACAGCTCCGAGTCCTCTTGTGAGGAGCAGCCGGCTGCTGCTACCATGCTGGCTGTGCATGACCCACTGTGCAGCCTTGGGCAGATGGCTCTGCCTCATCTTCCCCTGCTGCTGTGCAGAGCTCGTGAAATCATGCAGATTCAGAGCCTAGAGCAGAGCCTGGTTCACGCTGAGGCTCATGGGATGATGCACTGTTTATATGAGCCAAAGATTCTGATCCACAGCGTTGGAGGGCTCTCACTGCAATGGCTGAATGCAATGTCAGGAGACCCGGGGGGGGGGGGGGGAGGCAGGGCAGAGGCGGGAGGCGGGAGAGAGAACATTAGAGCTGCATGTTGGAAACAATATAAGCTCCAAGAGGCAAGGGGCTGTTGTTTGTGGGGCCCCAGCACCGTGTCTCTTGTTCAGCAGGAAAGAGACTCAAGTCCTGAAAATACTATGACATTGAGCACGGGGGGAGAGGGTGGAGCAGGGGTGACCAGTACCTTGATGCCTGCACTCCGGCACTTGCCCACGGCATCAGGCACAGCCGCTCGGGGAGGGTCAATCATGGACATGAGCCCCACGAAACACAGCTTCTCGGTGGGAAAGTTCAGCTCGTCTGTGTCAAATTTGAATCCCCGAGGAAACTTCCCGGAGGGCAGATTCAGTTGGCAGAACCCTGAAGGGGTCAGAGGGGAGGGATGAGAGCAGGAGGGGGCTGCCAGAACCCAGGGCAGCACTGAGGCTGGGGTCCTCTCAGCCCTACTCCAGCTCTGTCCTCACCCAACACACGCTCTCCCAGGCCTCCCAGCTCCATGTAAGCATTCTGGAAGGCATCCTGCATCTCCTTGTCCAGAGGGATTTCCTTGCCCTGCACCAGGATGGAGGAGCAGCGGTCCAAGATGCGCTCCGGGGCCCCCTTCATCACCAGCACGTAGCTCTGGGGGCTGTCTTCTCGCTCGTGGATGGACAGCTGGAGAGAGGGCAGCAGTTACAGAGGGCCCGTGGTGCCTTGTTCCCAGCTTGGACCCAAGACAGAGCAGAGACTGGCTAGGAAACTGGCTCATAAAAACAGGCCCCATCCGAGCTGGAAAAGATCGTGCTTAGTGAGATAAGCCAGAAAGAGAAAGAAAAATACCGCATGATTTCACTCATAGCAGGAGTATAATGGACCAGGCGAGAAAATAATAAGAACAATGAACAACCATATACCAGAGACATTTTGCAGGGGTGGAGTGGGAAATGGGATCAAAAACGGGGGTGGGGGGTGGGGAGGGAAGTGCACGGGATTATGGTGATGGCACACGGGTGACTTGGTGATGGGAAACCCGCGGGGATTACAATTGAGATGGGAAAAAAAATGTACAAAATGATGTAAAAATAAACTGTTGTAAAATTAAAAAAAAAAAACAAAATAGGCCCCATCCATGAATGATTGTCGTAGAGGTGCAGAATGTGTTCGGCCCTCACAGTCCCCCAACAACCTCACAGTCCCAAGAGTGTGTCACTCAGCAGCATTCACTCAGGTCAGTTAAGATGGATGCTGTGCTCGGGGCTTGGCAGTGAAACCCCCCGCCCCCCACAACACACACACACACACACACACACACATAGCTGAGGAACACCTCAAGAACTTTCCAGGATGTGGTCCAATTGAATAGGATGGAAGGAAGTTTGGGGACCTGGGCCGGAAGATGGGGTACCCTGGAAAGAAGAGCCTAACTGGAGACAGGTGGTCATAAGGGATGAAACTCAGAGTGACATCCAAGTTGCCGTGAGACGCAGTGTGAGAGGCAGGCCCCTCAGATGCCCCCTCTTCTATCAGCAATACCCCTGTGGTTTGTGCACGCTTCATTTCTGGGCCCGGTAGGTTCTTCATCCCAGCAACCCCCAGACCTGGTACTTGTTGGTGGAGTTGAAGGGGATCTCCGCCACTTTGGGATTCCTTTCCCTCATCTTCCTCACGGAGCCGCAGGACAGCTCGATGCACTTGAGCAGAGCCGACTCGGAGGCATCGCCCGCTGTGTCCCGCTGCCGGAGAGGGTGAGTGTCACATGGGCCAGAGGAGTGGACACCGAGTAGGTCACAGAGGTCCCCCCAAGCCCCACAGGGTTCAGGGGGAAGACAGGTGAACTGGCATGCAGACACCGCTCCCCACCTTAGACACAGAGATGTTCTCCTGTCCAGCCTTGAAGACAGCTCGGTTGCAGAGACCAGCAATGCGGGACAGGGCCGTCCATGTTGGGGAGCGCTTGTCAAAAGTGGCCCCTGGAAGGAGGTGAGGGAGAACCGAGCTGGCTCATCTCAGAGCCCTCTGGTCACACCACTTCTGAACCCCTGTAGTCACCCCCTGTCCCTGAGCACCCAATCACCAGACTGATCTTCCGTGGTGTCGGCCTCATGGATCTGGTTGTCAAACCACATGTGGGCGACAGTCATGCGGTTCTGGGTGAGGGTGCCCGTCTTGTCCGAGCAGATGGTAGACGTGGAGCCCAGTGTCTCCACCGCCTCCAGGTTCTTCACCAGGCAGTTCTTGCGCGCCATGCGCTTGGCCGTCAGCGTCAGACACACCTATGGCGAGGGGAGAACGAGAGGCCCAGTCTGGGCTGGAGACATCCATGACCTTACCCAGGCGTGGCGCCAATCCTGCTCCCTCCTTCCACCCCACAGGGGAAAGCACATGCGGACCTGACTGTGCCCCGTGTGAGTGCTGAGCTGAGATCATGGTGTATATTTAGGTGAGGCATGGAGTAGGGGATTGAAGATTTTGTGTGAGAACACCCTGAGAAGGCCGCTGGACTGAGGCCCAGTGGGGACGGTCTCGGTCAGGGGGAAGGGGAGAGCAGGAAGCTGCAGCTGAGAACTGGGGTGGGGGGGGTGAGGGTGTGGGAGGGACACTGCAGGGGAGAAAGGAGAGGAGAGCCTGGAGAGAGATACGTCACAGCAGCCAAGGAAAGAATTTAGGAGGGTGGACAGCAGTATCCATTTCAGCTGCAGAGTTAAGGATGGCTGCTGGGAAAAGGTCACTGGATTTGCTAGTTAGTCACTGGTGACCCTTGAGAGTCTTTGCAGGAGAGGCTCCAGATGGAGGGGGTGAGCCGCCCATGGGGAAGGCCACCAGGCAAGCTCCAGGAGGGAGACTGAGTGCTGGTCACGACCCACCGGAGGAGGGCAGGCTCACCCCAGAGCCGTGGGTGACGGGCGCTTGTGACCTGTGATCTCAGGGGCCGGAAGTGAAAGGCTTGCTGCGCAGCTATGTGCTGCTGTCATTTTTGAGGAGACATGGCAGGACCCCGGTGGCTCCTCAGCCTGACCACTCACAGTGACAGTGGCCAGCAGCCCCTCGGGCACATTGGCCACGATGATGCCGATGAGGAAGATGACGGCCTCCAGCCAGCTGTAGCCCAGGATGAGGGAGAGCACGAAGAAGGAGACACCCAGGAAGACGGCCACGCCTGTGATGAGCTGGATGAAGTGCTCGATCTCCATGGCAATGGGCGTCCGGCCCACCTCCAAGCCCGAGGCCAGGGTGGCGATGCGGCCCATCACTGTCCGGTCACCCGTGGCGATCACGATTCCCCTGGCAGTGCCTGGAACACAGACGGGGCGCCAGGCTGGGTATGCTGGGGGCCCAGGCCTGAGGCTCCCCTCCTTCCTGGGAAAGGAAACCAGCACAGCTCCGGGAGCCAGACCCAGACCCGAGGCCGCTCTCCCTGCACAGAGCACCAGTCCCAGACTTGATGTGACAACAGCTGATGGTCCCTTATAGTTGGGCCTGGAAAACCTTGCAAATAAACTCAGAGATCCAGCTGAGGAGAGTCAATAAATGAAATAAAATCAACTGCCTACAGTATTTCAGTAAAATCAATTAGGCTTGTTATCATCCTAAAGTATAATATGAACACAAGAAACCACGTGGATTTTCCTCCCCAGGTTAGGTGTCTCTATGGAAGAGCCAGGCAGTCACTAACCCTAGCAGGGACACGTGTGGTGTCAGGGGAAGCAGAGCCAGCAGTGAGGGTATGTGAGCTGGGCGGCAAGCCCGGGTCTGGGTGCAGGCTGTATTCCGACTAGGTGCTGTTTAGATTAAACGAGGGAGCCTGGTGCTGTAGCTGGGCCCGTGTCTGGCACACAGCTGGCCCTCAGCAAGTATTATCGCCCTTCATTTCCTCTCCAATCTTCCCCATCAGTTCAGAATCAGCAATTCTAATACTTTACCAGGCATATTTACCAGTTGTGGGAAGTGTAGAGCAAATTCCAGAATCTCTACATTAAAAATTTAGGAAATGTAATGTGTGGTGGCTCTCATTGTAATCCCAGTTTGCTGCAGGAGGGAAAGCCCTGAGAAACGCAATACACCCGAGAGAGCGGAGAGGGGCGGGAGGCGGGCACAGGCCTCCTGGGCCCCTTTCAGAGGCCACGGGCTGTGGCCTCGTGTCTGCCAGCTCCTCCCAGCCTCTTCCACACCAGCCCCCTCTGGCTCTGGGAGTGACCATCAGGGGCACAGTGGACCCCTACCCTTGGGCAGCAGCTGTCCTAGGACTAGAAGGCGGGTGGGGGAGCAAACACGGCAGCCTTCGAGAGGCCAGGCAGCTCTTTCATTGAAGCACAGACCCGGTGAGATTGAGGAGGGCTCAAGTGCTCCCTGGCCAGGAACCTTCTCACCTCCCCTGGTCACAGCTTGGTTAAAACAGGGGTGAGAGAGGGACACACCGTCCCAGAACTGGGGAGGTGAGCGCCTCACAGGCTGACTTGGGCTTGTGCATGTGCATTCACGAGTGTGTGTGTGCGCACATGTGTGTGTGAGGGCCTTCAGCCAACACCTGAGAGCGTCGGAATCACCATGTATTTGGGGAGGACGGAATGGAGATGCTTCATGGGGAGGTGACTTTTCTATGGAGTTGGGCCTCCCCAACCAACACCCTGCTATGTGGGGGGAAGCGGGGACTATTTTGTAATATTCAGACTCCTATCCCTCAGCTCCCTCCTCTGGACACCCCCCCCCCAATCCCATCTGGGAGTCTGGGTCCCCGACCGCCCCACATTGGATAAGGTTGCTATTCACCTTCCACGCAGTTGGTGGAGAAGAAGCAGATGTTGCGGGTCTCCAGGGGGTTCTCATGGGTGAACTCAGGGGAGCGGGTCTGGGGTTCCGACTCGCCCGTTAGGGACGAGTTGTCCACCTGAAGAGGAAGGGTCGTGGCCGTCAGGGGGCAGGCACACAGGAGCACACACAGCTGTCTCCTGCTGCTGACCGCACTCAATCTCCCTGACCCAAAATTGCACTTGCCCTCATCACATATTTATAGCATTACTCAGCTATTGTCCCTGCTCTGGCTGGAAACCTGGCTCTTACTGGCTGCTGATGTGACCTTGGGCTTGTTACTCAACCAGCATAGCCTCCTTTGACTGGTCTGTAAAATGGGAATGTCGCCAGAATCTCTGCAGTGCACAACTATAGGGGTCCCACCAGCACTGTCACCGGTGCCAGTGGCACCTCTTAGGGCAGTGCCTAGCACAGACTGTGGCCTCGCACAGCAGCCCTGCTTGATGGTAGCCTACTGCAGAGTTCAATTGACAGCATCCGGGAAGGTACATTGGAGCTGAGGGGTCACTGCTCCTCAGCCTGTGGTTGCTGTGAAGTGCGCTTGAAAGAAACCTGCCCGGCCGGGGTCCTCCCAGCACGGGAGGCAAAGCCCTGCACAAGCACCACGTATAAAACCGTTTCGGCTGGGAGGTGTGGGCCCGGGCTGGCATTTGGACCCGAGTCCCCCAATCTTTAACGCTCCCCCTTCCCTTTGTGCAGAGGGCTCCGGCCCAGCCAGTGGCTCTGCGATCCCCTCACCTTGCAGCCGTGTGAAGAGATGATCCGGAGGTCAGCAGGCACGCGGTCTCCCCCCTTGACCTCCACCAGGTCTCCTACCACCACCTCCTCTGCGTTGATCTGCATCTTCTCTCCCTCCCGCACCACGAGCGCTTGCTGGAGGGAGGCCCAAGGCTCTCAGAACATGCTCACGGCCACCCCTTCTTCACCCCTTCTCCTGCTGGCCCCGCCTTCCCTCCAAGCCCCCAAGGAGGACAAGACGCTCTCAGCCACAAACCCAGATCCTGACGGGAGAGCAGGAGGGCTTCTTGGCTCACGACCCATTCCCGAGCACACAGGGCTGAGAAGGGCAGCTGGACTCTCCCAGGAAGCGTATGCCCAGCCTGGGGCCCACCAGCTACCTGAGGAACCATGTTCTTGAAGGAGTCCATGATCTTGGAGCTCTTGGCCTCCTGGTAGTAGGAGAAGCAGCCGGTGACGATGACCACAGCAGCCAGCACCACACCCAGGTACAGCTGGAGAGGACACAGGGTTAGAGAGACCTCTCCCAACCCGGAGGGGGCTGCCCCTCACCCCCGCCCCAGCGTCAGTGTCCCCTGTCTGTGACCAGCAGAGGCAAGTGTCCTCCAACCTCACCCCTCTAGCCCCAGCCTCCTAAGGCGGTGGTCTGAGGGAGACCCCTGACTGGAGCTTCTCTGCGGGGACCAGGGGTCCCCTCCATGTGCGTATGAAGGAACGGAGACAGGCCGCCTCAGTCATGAGTGACTGCACGCTTGTGTGCGTGTCTGGGTGTGCAGATACACAGACCCCACCCCTCGGAGCCTAAGGAGCAGGACGCCTGTGAGGCTGTGCTGTCCCCTGACCCCCAACCATACGGGAGCGGTGAGCTTGGGCAGCCATGGCTGGCCGGCCGCGAGCTGGCTCACATTGTCATTGGACGGCTCATCCTCCATGGCAGCCTGGATGCCGTAGGCCAGGAAGCAGAGGATGGCTCCGATCCACAGCAGGATGGAGAACCCCCCGAAGAGCTGACGGCAGAACTTGACCCACTCCGGGGTCGTCGGGGGTGGAGTGAGGGCGTTGGGGCCGTCCCGAGCCAGAATGTCCTGGGCCCGCTGGTTGGTGAGGCCCTGGGGGAGGCAAGGAGAGGGTGAGAGTCTCGTCTAGATCCAGCTGGTCCCACCCCACCACATATCGCCTCCTTGGCAGGGGGAGGCATCCAGATGGAGAGACAACTCCCTGTGTGGAAAGAGTGTGGCGGCCAGGAGAGGCCCCTAGAGGAGGTGGCTTGGTGGGCTGTTGGAGTCCCTGAGGTGGGGGAGGGTTGACTGTGCTTGTCACGGGATTCAGACCCATGTTAGTTGGGCCACCAGCATCTCCCCAGGCAGCTGGGTAAGAGTGCCTGGAAGACATCTCTTAGCTCCCCCCAACTTCTGTCCCCTTCCCCAGGCATCGAGCGCTCCCCTTCCCCAGGCATCGAGAGGAGCCCTGTGTCACTGACCTTCAGTGTTAAACACGTTCGAGGGCCATCTGTCGCTCTGCCCAGCAGGCCTGGCCTGGCTTGTTCCCCAGTCCTCAGGGGTCCACCCCCCCATACCCACTCAGAAGGCACCAGAGCTGCCCTAGCCCCCTCCCTCCACCCTCCCACGACAGCCTGGCATCTGCATCCTTTCTGCCTCTAGACTGAGCCCCGCCAGAGGTCGCTTCTGATTTGCCACACATTTATCTAATACGTGTGTCCTGAGCGCCTACTGCATACCGGCGCTACATCAGCTCCGTGGGCCAGAGATGGGTGGGTAAGATCCCCCAAGCCCCCAGCTGTGGAGTGTGTGATTGCATGGGGCAACATGACGGCAGAGATTATGCCAGATAGTGAGAGGGTTATTCAGGGAACTAAAGTGAGAAGGAGTCTTAGGAAGTGGTTCGGGAAGGCTTGCAGGAGGGCGTTAGTGATTTATTTTTCAAAATGACAGGCTTAGGGATCGGACTGAGACCTTGGAAGCTACTCCTCTTCATCGGGCTTCTTGCCCTAATGAGCAGCATGCAGCCCCTCCTCCCAGGTGGGCGTGAGGACTGGACACACGCGGGTGTTGGTGATGTCCAGTGCGGGGCTGCGTGCGGAGTGGGCCCAGCGCAGAGCCCTGGGCACAGTGGCGGGCACGTGCATTGCAATGGGAGCTGTGTGGGAGGTTGTGTGTCACCGAAGCTGCTTGGAGCAGGGGAAGAGCCTGCCTGGGGGCCCCCTGGGGTCCCGGGCTCAGAAACACAGGTGAAGAGCCACCGGCCATGGGCAGGGCTCTGGGCTCGAGTTCAGCCTCTGCCATCAGCAGTCCTGCCTGGGCCTCATCTGTGAAGGGGTTCTTCATAGATGCTCGGGGGACCTCATACCTCTCCGGTGCCTGCTCAGGACCCCTACTCACCTTGGACAGGTCCACTTGGTATTTACGGCCCAGCTCATCCAGGGACAGCTTGTGGTCATCCTGGAGAAGGGAAGTCACTTTACTCTGGGGAAGGAGGCTGGCTGTGTCTAGAATGTGTGTGAAGGGCTGCGGGGTTGGGGTTGGGGAGTGCTGTCACTGGGGCGAGGCAAGGAGCAGAGGTGGGCGAGAGCTTCTCGGGTGCACTGGGCTGTAGGGCAGCTCTCCCAGGCCAGGTCCCTTCATGGCCACCAGGCAGGGCGTGGGGCTCACCATGACCACCTCCTTCTTCAGCTCGTCCAGCTCTTTCTCTTTCTGTTTCTTCTTGCCACCCCCATTCTCCGCAGTGGTGGCTGCGGGTGAGTACTCGCGGCCGGCCTGCAGGAGGAAGGGAATGTCCAGCGAGTCAGGGAGGACAGAGGCTGGAGCCTGGACAGTGGGGAGCTGTGGCACAGGAGTGAGGGCATTGACAGTCCGGGGTTGGAGGGTAGTGGGGTCCCAGCCCCTCAGCCTGTAAGCTATTGGCAGAGCTGTGAGTACTATGCTTGTGTTTGGGGGAGACTAGGGCCTGGGGACTCATAGTTCCCACTCTGAGCTGTTTAATAGTTCTGCTAAGATTCTGTTTGTCGAAAGAACCCTGCTGCTAAATAGGGCTCAAATAAAGCAAACAAACTTAAAAAGCTCCATCCTAAGCTATTTAGGACAGGGTTGGGGTGGTTGGGGCAGTGCAGTGCCCTGGAGGAGTATCTTTGTCCCAACACCATGGCTACGTCACTATTAAAAGAGTAAGATGGTTAAGGATTTGGGGGGACACAGGTCTGGGATTCAGGGGTCAGGACAGCGACCTATCTGGAGGCCAGTGGGAACCACAGACTGGGTGTGGGGAAATAGACTCAGCAGGACTCAGGCTCGGAGAAGCCGGGAGCTGGAGGGTTAGAGCAAGTCCAGGAAGTGGGGTCACAGTGTGCTGGGAACCTTGTCCATCATGCCTGGACAAGAGGCGGTTTGCAGGACTCAAGGCCCCAAAGAACAATTGGGCAAAAAGGGAACCGGCCCCATTTGTCCAAAAAAGAAGAAACTACCCCTGAGAGTAAATCTAAAACTAAAATACATGTCACTGTTGGTCCAGGCATTCCTGGGTCTCTGCTCAAGTTGGCGACGGCTTTATCTGGACCCCCAGGAGGCCCCGTGCTCCCTTCTACTCCAGAGTCTCAGGTCTCCAGGTTGCAGGCCTCACAGGGGACTTTCGGGGAAGAGGGCAGGAAGCCCTCGCAGGAGGCGGCTGTCCTGGAGGCAGGACCGGAGGGCTGTGGAAGGCCTGGAGGCAGTATCCCCCCTCTTCCTTCGGAGAGCGGGGCGTGTGTCCTGGCACAGAGGGCTGCTCTGTTCTGCCCCTGAGCCTCAGTTTCCCCACTGGGTCCCCAGGGCTGATGAGGTTTTCAGGAATGTGCTAGAATAACCTTTGTTTTTGCTGTAAAATGAATATCAGGGCAGGATCGATAGCCAAGTACTTTGCTGGGGTTTCTTGGGGCTTGTTGATTTTATTTGTTTGTGGTATAATAGAGTTTTAAAAAGTAGTTTTAAAAAGCTATTTTAAAGAGCAGTTTTACGTTCACAGCGAAATGGAGCAGAAAGTACAGAGTTCCCACGTGCCCCCTGCCCCCCAGCCCCCGCCCGCAGCCTCCCCCACCATCAGATCCTACCAACAACACAGCCCCCCGCACCCCCACCAGATGGTGCGTTTGTTACAATTGATGAACCTCCGCTGACTCATCAGAACCACGCCAAGTGCACAGTTTACACCAGCGTCACTGCTGGGGTGTACGTTCTCTGGGTTTGACAAATGTGCCATTACAGTATCACCCAGAGCAGTTTCCCTGGGCTACAAGCCGTCCACGCGCTGGCATAAGGCATCTGTCCCCCACCAGTGGGTCAGGAGCAGTCCCCGGAATGTGGCCGTGCCCTGGACAAGCGGGATCACGCACTCAGCACATGGAGAGGGTGACGTCTGACGTGAGACCGGCAGGGTGGGAGAGGAGGACCCCAGGGGACGCTGTGGTGGACGGCTGGGCCCTGGACACTAGCCATGTGAAAGGCTGCCTTAGAGGCTGTCCTGAGTGTGCCTCCAGCAAGGTGACCAGTGGCTCTGACATTTGTTTCTGTAGGCAGATCCTGACTCAAATGTACTTCCCAAGGCTGACCATCTCGGGGACCCTGAGGCTCTGTCCTGGGGAGCTGGGAGGGAGGGGCGACAGGACTGCAAGTGGATGAGGACAGCAGAGGGATGCAGGCAAGATATCAGGCGCATCGTTTCAGAGACCCACAGGAGCTTTCAGGAAGAAACAGGCCTGGGTATTCAGAGAGGAAGGGGCTGGCGCTGGGGGCAGAGAAACAGCGCTCTGAGAAGTTCTGAACGTCAGGCGTGAAAGCGTGCTAAGGAGCGCCTCCGCCTCACGCACGCTGGCGTGTTGGATGGCAGCTGGGCTAAGCAGCTCTGTGCAGCAGCTCCTGCTCTAGGCGTCCACCGGTGTCCCACAAGCGAGCTGGACACGCTGCCCTTCCCCCCTCCTGTCCTGGCAAGGATCTCAGACTCTGCGGCCAGGAGCCTGCGGAGATTTCGGGCCAGCAGGCTGCCCAGGCAAGAAAGAAAGAGAGGAAGCAAGGACCCCCTCCTCTCCCCTCCCCAGCCACAAGTCCCCCTCTCCGGTCTTGAATGCTGGAGAACAGAGAGTTCTTTCTGAGCAAGCTAGAGGCTGGGACAGAGTGGGGGCAGCTGGAGAACAGCCAGTGCCCCCCCCTTCCCCAGCATCTCAGTGGCAGCTGGAGAAGGCTGGGCTCCCTCCCACCACATGGTCCCTCCCCCGACTCCCACGCTGCCCTTCATGGTCACAGGGTGCTGGGGTGGCATTAGGCCTTGCTCTAAGAGCAAAGGCTGGGGGACAGGGATGGGAGGTGAGACGAATCCTACACCAGGATGTGGGTGGGAGTGCTTTCTTCTGGGGGCCCCCAGGCAGCTGAATTCTAAGCCCACTTTCCCCAGTGCCTCTGTCCAAACAGAGCCAGCATTGCCTCCAGCTGCTGTTGCTTCACCTGCTGCTGCTAGGGGTGGAGGTAAAGGGTCTTCAGGGACCTTGTGGGAGAGCGTCCACCCCACTGTGTTTCCTTGGGAAGTCAAGGTCAAATCACACCCCAAGCAGGACCTCCCAGGCAGAGAGAGCAGGTCCACCCTGTTCCAAGCTGGAGCAGGCAGAGGCCACCTGCCTTCCTTCCTTCCGTGGCAAAGGGTGCAAGGCTCAGCCTGACCTTTCTCAGAGGTCCTGGGTCTCCGCTGGGGCCCCCTTTCTCTGGGGGGAACAAGACAGGTCAAGGTGCAGCCTAAGGTCCCAAAGCAGGACATCTTCCCCCAGTGGTGACCTTGTGCTCCATGGAACCCACACCTCACAGACAGCACCCATGGGCTGCGGCCCATGGGCAACTCAGACTCTCATCCCACACACACCCATGCTCACTCACAGTGACAGCCATGCTCCCGGGCAGAAACCTCCACGCTAACCCATGCTTGAAACTACGCAGCTTACTGACTCACCTGCTGAGACACGACAAACGTGCCCACCCACGGACACTCCTGCCATCTCCGGCCTCGGGAGAGCACCCAGGCCACGTGCACTTGTGCGCATGCAGACACTCAGACACATGTCCACACACTCACACCGAACACTCCACTCACATGCACAATATATACACATGCACACATATGCACACAGGTTCTATTTATAGCTCCCACCCTAGCTCAGGGACCCTGGAGTCCAAGCTGAGAGTTTTCCCAGCTGCTAAACTTGTTGCAATAACAAGTCCTTGCCTGACCCATCCGGGCCCAGGAATTCCTCCCCAGGTTCCTGCAGGCACCCTCCATACTCAGCACCCTCACCCCCTCACTGCTCCCTGCCCCTCCAGTGCTCCACAAAAGGAAAACAGTCAGGCAGTATGTAGAGGGATGGGGTCACTTTTCTCCATATGGAAATTTCATTTCCAAGAATTCAAAGCCCTGTCCCTGCCCCCTCAGTGGCTGTTAATCTTCCCTTTGGCACACCCAGCTGCAGAGTGCCCGGAGGGGGTGGGCTGGGGGGCGCAGGCTGCTTTCACCAGCTCTGGGAAAGTCCTCAAAGCCTGTGGCCCAAAGCCTGAGGACAGTACTGGGGCTGGTACATCCGGAGGGTGCCGGGCTGGGCAGGGCCGGGGGGCCTTCTCTCCCGCCCCACACCCCTCCCAGCCTTCTCTGGAGCTCAGGGCCCCCAGCGGGGAGCTGCTAAGTGTCCTAAGGGCAAACACTCCCTGTGACTTAGACCCTCAGACTTAGACCCTCAGGCAAGTAGATCTCTTCAGGGAGAGGAGAAGGGGAGGATTAGCAGGGCCAGGGGTCCCTCCACCTGGGAGATCAGCGGCTGCACTGAGGAGGGAGGCATGGAACTGGCCAGGTGGGAGGAGCAGGGGTGTAGGTGCAGGAAGGTGGAGGAAGAGCAAGGGATTCTGTGTGGCTCTAGGGCAGGTTGTGGGGGTGCAGAAAGAGCGTGTGATGTGTGCAGGCATTCGTCGCTGAGACTGTTAGCGTCCGGTTCAAACTACTCAGTCAGCTCCCTGCCACACACACACGCATCCCATCCCACCTCATCCTTTCTGTTTGCCGCCCTCCTCACCTCCAGGAGAACCCTCTCCTCCCTACAAAGTGAACTACTCTTGGGGGTACTCACCCCACGGCCCATCTTGGGGCAGAGTGGCTGAGGGGCCTAGACAGGAGAGGTCACCAGGAGGCTCTTGAGCCCACACGCCAGCCTGCCCAGGACGCTGGAGACCCCGGCAGACAGTCAGAGAGGGCTGAGCAACAGGGTAGCTTTAAATAGGTCCCTCTCCCCTCTCCCCCCGCCTTCCCCTCCTTGGAAAGAAACGTTTGTTGAAACAGGATCCCCGAGGACTCCTCCCCTCCCGCCCCTGAGCAACTGGCCTGGATGGTCCCTTGTCCAGCTGAGTGCTCCCCTCAGCTCCCTTTAGCCTCCCTCTGCCAATGGCAGCCACTACTGAGGGGAAACGAAGGGGAGGGCTGGAAATGCCCCTGAGAGGGGCCGGGTGTGGGGGGGCCATCCCCCTCAGCAGCCAAGATGCAGAGGACATGTGGTCTCTCACCAGGCCTCTTGTTTTCCTGGTGAGGAAACTGAGGCCCAGAGATTAAACAATTTGAGCTGATAAAACAGCACCAGAACTCAGGCCTGAGTCCACATCCAATCTCCTGGAGAAAGAATTGGAGACTAGACCTCAGCTGTGGGGACCCTGAAGCCACAGAAATGAGTGTGGTAGCCCAGGATCCCCGTATACCTGGGGAGCCATGGAAGAAGACCATGAAAGCCACAAACGGGCTCAAGAGGGAGCAAGAAGTTAGGAGACAAGAGGAGAGAGGCTCCACCTTAGATACTACCTTTCTAGTCTGGGGATCAGGACTCCAGGGGTGAGGCAGGTGGCTTGGGGGCGAGGGAAAACCAACTCAGCTGACATCCACACACCTCTGGTTCTTGTTCCCCTTGCTGCTGTGTTCCTGAGTGAACATGGCTGACAACTCTAAGCTGAATCCATGTCTGGGTTTGTTACAGGGCACGGGGAGGGACACCGCTGAACCCCCAAACCTGCCTGCTCTAAATAGGTTCTACCATCCACCACATCAAGATAAGACATATAAGACTTTAGTGAAAAGGAACTTTAATGCAGTGAGTACACAATACGGAAGACAAAGAATACAAAATACGGAAGACAAAGAATACAATTTCTGCATCAAACACCTGAAGTTACCCACCCCCTGGTGGACAAAAGTCGACCCAAAAGGGATTGGTCCAGAGCAAGGCCTGAAAGCCTGCGACAAAACTAAAGAACCTTCTGGCCGGGACCCACAGAGTCAGAAATGACCAGACAAATCTGGGAGGAAAAGAGCACAATCAAAATCAATATAAACACTGCCACAGTCACCTCCCCATGGGTCTCTCACCCACATCTGCCTTAACCGTCCAGGGTCAGGAAACAAGCACGATTTCTTCCTCACATGCTTGCTGCTCCATGTGGCTTCCTCAGGTCTCCTTGTGGCTCTCCATCCTGCCTCCTTCTTCCTCAGATTTCTTCTCTTCTCTGCTCAGCTCCACCTGCCTTCTGGGTGGGGTAGGGAACCTGGAACTTGCCCTTTTCCTAGGGACCACCCTGCTACAGGTTCAGTGGGCAGGAGGGGAGAAGCACTCCTGTGGGGCATGTGGGGCCTCTGTTGGAAGGGGACCAGGCCCCAGGGAGCTGGAGACTAGACGGCTCCCCAGCAGTGTGCGAGCCTCCTCGTGGGACACGACAGCAGGGGAGTGGCCGGAGGCTGGACTGGGGGAGGGGGGGCTGTCTGGGGTGCATGTGGGGGTGCTATCTGTAACCCGAACCAATTGGGAGCAGGGGCAGAAAAGATGGTCTGGAACAGGACAGTGAGTCCAGGGGTGTTATTTCTGTTCGTTTGATGAGAAAACCCAAGAATGGGGAGCAGAGAGGAAGGGAAAACCAGAAGGGTTGAGAGAGGAGATGAAATTCTGCCCCTTTTTTCTCCTGGAAGCAGTCAGGATGGGACTCTGGGGGTGTCCCCATTTCTCTGGGCACAGAGATGGAATGGCTGCCAGCCAGGGAACCGGGGCAGGCCTGAGCCCAAAGAAGCAAGGAAAGGCAGAGGGGGGCCCTCGGCTCAAAGCCTAAGGTGCTGCAGCCTGGGCCCCCAGGGAACTCCCTACAGAAGTTACCCGACTCTCCTCCAGCAAATCCACTCTCAGCCACAGGGCTCACGCCTGAATTCCCCAAATAACTGGCCCCCTCTAGGCCTGCAGTGGGATTTTCCATCACAGGGATCCGGAAGGTCACGTCCAGCTTCCGCCCTCCTTCTCCTCCTGGGTTACAGCAGGAAGGGTGGGTGGGATGGTCAGACACCTCAAGGCTCCTCGGTGACCTTGAATTTAAGCCTGGGGGGGGAAGATAGGCAGTGGGAGGGCACAGTGGGGAGAATGTCCCTACGTGCAGGGGACAGTGAGAAGTCGCTGGAACACAGAGAGCAGGCTGTGGTTAGACATCCGGAGAGAAGTCTGGGGGCGCCTCTAGAAGAGTGGCCACAGGTGGCCAGGTCACTCAACACTGGGCAGCTGAAGGGCAGCCTTGCTCTGGGCTGGGGTGGGGAGAGGGTAATAGAGTTGAGGAAGCGCCTGCTCCTTAGTTCCTGGGTGGGGACGCAGGGGTCATCCGTGCGCAGCCTGCTCGTGCCCAGCCTGCTCGGACACAGGGGTGTGGGGTGGGGAAGCGTCAGTCCCAGAAGGTCCTGGAGTACATATTCAGGTCTGGGCTGTCAGTTTCCACAGGCCCTCTACCCCCAACCTTGCTCCTGCTGGCATTCCCAGTACTGCCCAGTCCCTCCAAGGCCTTGGCTCCAGGCCCTGCTGCCAGGGCAATGCCGGAAAGCACTGTGCCCTCCCTCTGCCCATAGCGCCTGGCAGGGCTCCCTGCCATGCCCGGCACTGGGACTCACGTGGCCCCAAGGGCACCGCTGCTCACATGTTGGGGACTCAGACCTAAGAAAGGATGGGTCTACGCCTCAGGGCCTGGCGCTGCAAACGCCTGGCCCCCAGGAGACTGCAGAGGCTCTGGCGTCCACCCCGTCTCTTCCTGGACCTCGGCGGCTGGGATACTCCCAGTGTAGACACCTGGTCCTTTGACCCGGGTGCCTGGGCTGGCCACTTTCCCTGAAGGCAGCCTGAGTGCCAGTCTGGAGTAAGAGAAGGAAACAGACCAAGAGACTTGAAGGTTGGACGCAGGGTGGCCGGGTGCCTGACTGGGAGTGGGCATGAGAGTCAGAGGTCAGGGCTTCAAGAGCGGGCAGCTAGGGTGGCCCTGACTCAGTCATGTAATGGACACAGGAATGGACCCCTAGGAAGTAGGGGTCTGTGTGTGCGCTTGCAAGAGGGCCTGAGAAAGGAAGGGCCTTCTCACACGCGCATGCGCAGAAACGTGCAAACATACTCTTGGGGGGGGCGGGAGCTGGTGGTGTGGGAGACTGTGGGGGGGGCAGTAGCTGGTGGTGTGGGAGACTGTAGGGGGGGCAGTAGCTGGTGGTGTGGGAGACTGTGGGGGGGCAGTAGCTGGTGGTGTGGGAGACTGGGGGGGGCAGTAGCTGGTGGTGTGGGAGACTGTGTGTGGGAAAGAGACCGTGTGGATGTCCCCGGTACTGAAAGAGATGCTCCCCCAGGCAGGAGGGGCCCACACTCCACCGATGTGCGCTCACTGTATTGATGGAAAGACGTTGTTGGAGCGCCAGTGTGACCCGCTCTGTGTGTGTGCACGTGTGAGTGTGTGTGAGTGTCAGTATGTCTGAGTGTGGTAGGCGCGTGTGGTAGGCTGCCGTGTGTGTGTGTGCGTGAAGTCCATGGGAGAGTGTGTGCCTGTGAGTGTGGCAGGGCTGTGGGACTGTGTGGTGTGCACAACTGTATTTGCGTACACACATGTGTGTGACCAGTGCTGGGGCCCATCACGACTACACATGAGAGCCCACGGGAGAGAGAGTGTGTGTGTGAGTGTGGGGGCCCCAGAGTGACCAGCGGGGGCAGGTGGGCCGGTGTGGGTGTACGTGAGAGTCCATGGGAGAGTGTGTGTGGCGGGGCGGGGGTGGGGACGGCTTAGCTGCAGATGGGCTTTCAAGGTCTCCAAGAAACAGTTTTGTTTCCTAAGTGACTGGCCTCCTGGGGCCTCCCGCCCAGACTTGAAGGTTGTTTCAAGATCATGAAAGAGAGAGGGGGAGGGAAAGGGGAGGGCAGGAAGAACCAGGCCTATCTCCCCACTGTCCCTACCCCACCTCCGCGCCCCACTTCTCTGCCCTCGGCCAGTTTGGGCCACTGGCCAGTCCTGCTCTCTCCCCTCTGTGGGCAGCCCTCCCTGGGCAGGCTTGCCTCCCCTTCCTCTCCCGTTGCCTCCGGTTCCTCTACTTTCTTCAGGGCCCTGGTGCTCAGCACGACAGGCTTCAGGGCCTCGGCGAGTACGACTGTCTTGGACTGGCAGGGTAGGGGGGCCTGGGACGTCCTGCTGTGGCCGTGACAAGTGCCCAGAAAGGCCACCCTGACCCCTACTGCTTCAGCCCCTTCACCCTCCATGCTCCACGGCAGGGCTGACCCTGTGATGGGAACCTTGGGCACTATCCCAGGAAGACCGTCCAGATGCTGTGCTGCCTCAGTTTCCCCACTGGACCATGGCATGGATGGAGCCGGGTTCTCTTTCCATCTCCCTCTTGACATCTACCGTTTTCTTTCTTTTCAATCCCCTCAATAAATCATAAGAAACTCTTTACTGCCTCTCCTTGTTCCATCATCTTTAATCTCATCCCCAGATTCTTCTTACCTCTTTTGTTAAAACCACACTATAAGGAATTCAGAGAACAGAGAGGAGGACAGGCCCAGAGGAACTTCTCCATCTTGGCCTCTGCTCTGTTCAGGCTTTCCCCTTCTCACTGACCTCCATGTCCTGTCTTGCCTGGACACACGGGTGAGGGACCCTAGGGAAGAAAAAGGAAAGGACCGATGTTGTGAGCTGGCCTTGCCAGCCCTCCTCCCTGGGCGATGGCCGGACCCCTCAGAGCCTCTGTCTCTCCCCACCTCCCCCACACACCTCAGGTGTCCTGAGGATGTGTGCTGGTCAGGTCAACTGAGGTGGCTGGTGGTCCCATAACCTCAGCTGAGAACCTCCCCAGCGGCTCTGATGATCCCCCAAATCCAGGTCACCCCCTCCTGTGCCCAGGCTCAGTCCATGGGGCCAGAGAAACCCCCACTGGAGATCTGGGTTCTGGAGGTCTGGGAGCAGGG